TCTCTCTCTCTCTCTCTCTCTCTGTGTGTGTGTGTGTGTGTGTGTGTGTGTGTATGTGTATGTGTGTGTGTGTGTGTTACAAAGTGCATTTTGCATCAGCAAGCTGGTTCGCGCGCAGCCCATACGTCGCGAGAACCCACCTATTTCATTTTTCCACCGAGTGTGAACATGACTCTGCCTCCTCCACGCACAAAGAGAGCGCACTTCACCAAGCGCGCGCGAGAGAGAGAGAGAGTGCAGTTCACCACACGCAGTTGCCTACAGCCGATACCCTGCTCTGCGATGCCCGGGAGGAAATTCCGTCATTGCATGAACCCGTCTATTTCATTTTTTTACTATGTTCCTTTCTAGCTCATGCCAAGCAGAGTCTCTGCTGGGCGAAAACGGGCGAAGTGCACTCTCTCTCAGCCCTGGGGCCTGGCTCCACTCCACAGCATTCTGCGTTTATCTGGTTCTGGTAGTCCAAATACATTTGAGAGGCTCGACCAGTCCAGATGTATATGGAACACTACAGGCACGTATCAAATTTCGTGTAGTGCAGCGATTCCCACTGTGCACTCTCTTTCTCACCACCCACTGCAGAACATTCTGAATGTATCTGGATCTGGTAGTGGCCCAATACATTCAAAAAGCTCGATCAGTTAGAATATAGGTGGTCCAGAGAAGAGTCCAGGTACATGTCGAATATTGCGTAGTGCAGTGAGGCCCATTGTCGAGAGAGGAAAATGCCAACGACGCTGCCTAAAAACAGAGCAGAGTATGTGGTTCAGAAAGTAGAGTACGGGCTCGAGCGTCGGCATTTTCCTTTCTGGGCGACATGCGAGATCCGCTCTAAGTTCTTTTGTTGTTTAATCTCAGCGAGCGCCAGTTTTTTTCTAGCCTTTCAAATTCAGCCAATGCTATTGCAGACACTCAGGGATTTCCGGGACTCTGCCCACGTTTTCATTCGCATTTTACGGGGCACCGTAGATAGGATCCAAAAAACGTGTCGCGTATCAGACGGCAAATATCCAAAATGGCAGAAATCCGGTGGAGATAAGTTGTGACATAGCATTACACCCGACCAGAAGAACTTTAACAGAATGTAGTACATGTCGTAGATAAGGTTGACGAATGCGGCGGCGGCCCCACCTGGAATAGTACAGTAACGAGAGGCCAATCAGCAATTGTTTTCAAAACTGTGTTTGGGAGTGCAGATGGCATTTGGGGGTTCAAAGGAGGTTAACGGAGGTTTAAATGAGCTTAGAGAGTGCTAATTACATTATGCTTAGTTGACTACCGAACATTTTTCTCCTCATCCTCAACCCTCCACCAACACCTACACAAACAAGCTTATCCCCACCAGCCTCGACGGTATACAAGACCCCTCCCCAAGGAACAAACGCCTTCACAACTACATATCGCAAAAAAATGGCCTCTCTCTCTCTCTCTCTCTCTCTCTCTCTCTCTCTCTCTCTCTCTCTCTCTCTCTCTCTCTCTCTCTCTCTATGTGTGTGTGTGTGTGTGTGTGTGTGTGTGTTTGTGTTGTCATATTCGCTATACACTCAAAAAAAGCATGGCTGTACCAGACTGTTTCGTCGGACTTTAACCGACTCATCGGGAGGGTGTGTGTGTGTGTGTGTGTGTGTGTCATATGACCACCACCTTTTCCTCTTTCCGCTCCGTCCCCAACCAGGTGCATTGAGCATATGGAAACCGAGAGGGAAGTGCTTACAACAATCTCACTCTCAGTGTTCTCCACATTCGCTCCATTTGCTTCTGCATCAATCGCCATGGCAGCCATGTTGAAGAAGGCCTCCTGTTGCTTGTTGCCCTTCCCACTAATGACCTGGATATGGCACGAAGTCCTGCATGATTTAAAAATGAGAAAGACCAATCAGAAAGAAACAGAGATGAGTGCATCAAAGTGAGAAGCTCAGTACCTCTCTCTCTCTCTCTCTCTCTCTCTCTCTCTCTCTCTCTCTCTCTCTCTCTCTCTCTCTC